TTGTTTTCTTGTACATATTGTCAACTTTTTTCGATTTATGTTTTAGTCTTGATTGAATCAAGAAGACGACTTTATTCTTACTCGTTTTCATAAATACTCTTTCTGCACAATTTCCCTAAAGGCTACTCATTATCTAAGTGCAGCAAATAAACAGTAAAACTTTTCAGGGAACAATATGTGACACAAATAGTACGTTACCGGAGCACATGATTAATATTCAGTTTCATTTTCCATTTCTCCTCAAATAACCGAGAGTCTTTTTTCTATGTTAGAATATTTGAATCCCTAGATTATTTCGAGTGTTCACATTAATTTATCTGTGTCAGAAATTAACTTGTTCAGACACCGACTAACTATATTAGTTGATCAATATGAGATGTCTTTTTTATGAGAAAAACAGAGAGTCAATAATACTATGAAAAATTTTTGTTCGTAAATTCAGTATAAAACTTAATTAATACCTTCAGCTTATTTAATATAATTACAAAACGTACTTTTTTCAAACGTAAACTTTGATCTTTTTATTTCTTACATATAGTAATTGTCAAATAAAATGCTATTCTCTATAAGTTATTACAACGTCATTTGAAGGGAAAAACTATGATCATGTCGTTGCTATACATCAGTCAACAAATGACAGTTTATGCTGTTTTGCTATTTGTGATAGCCGGTGTAATTGGTAATGGAATGAATATTTTAGTAATGTCAAGTGTTAGTACTTATCGTAAAACTCCTTGTACATTTTATTTTCTTATTACTTCAATTAGCAATATTCTTTTCATAACGATTATTCTCATTTCTCGACTTGTCATTACAGGACTTAACGTTGATTTAACTCGTACATCAGTAATCTGGTGTAAATCGCGATTATATCTCATCGGCGTTTTTAGTTTAATGTCTTTTACTTTTTCATGTTTAGCTACAATTGATCAATTTTTTGCTACGTCACGAAGTGCTAGTCTTCGTCGTTGTAGTAATATAAAGTGGACATATCGAATTGTATTCATTACAATTCTTATGTGTTTTTTTCATGCAAGTCCTTGTTTAATATTTCTTGATATTTCACCAACCACGAATACATGTATAAACATGAGCAGTGCCTATGCCATTTATCTCTCCTTCTATAGTCTTGGTCCTACCTGTTTTTTTCCGATTGTTATAATGGTTGTATTTGGATATCTCACTTATCGTAATATTCAATCAACAAGAGTTCTTGTTAGACAATATGCTGATCGTCAATTGGCACGAATGACATTGATTCAAGTAGCACTTGTTGTTATATGCATGCTACCATATGGTATTGACACTACTTATAATTTGATCACAAATGGGATGGTTAAAGATATAAATCGAATAATCGAAGAATCGTTTGCATTAACCGTTTTCACTCTTTTAACTTATTTCTACTATGTCGTATGTAGATCGAGTTTTTTCTTAAATAATTATATGTTGAATTTTTCTGGGTTATTATTTTAGGGAAGTTGTTTCATGTTTTTAGTTACATCAAGTCGTTTTCGACGAGCAACAAAAGATCGAATATTATTTTGGCGTAGAGCAAATCAAGTACTTCCAATCCAAAATCCAACATTGGGAAATACAACACGCAATTAAGAGAAAATTGTGTTTTTTTGAACATACATACTTTTTTTTCATCTTGTATCTCTTGGCAATTTATATTAAAATATCTCATAAATTCAACGGATATGAACACTGCTCCTACAGAAAATAAATATTGCGCAGAATAATAGTGAATGAAAAGTACTGAATCTGAATGCATTGCAGTAAAAGAAATGATTTGATATTTAGTTAAAATATTAATTGTGATAAATATCTCAATATTTAGTTAATTTCACATGTGATCATCTCCTCCATAATTATTCCAACTAAATCAATATAACGAAATGATCTATTAACAATCAGAAACTAAAGTCAGAAAAACAACAAGGGTGTGGGTGAATGTGTCGATGTGGATATTGTCTTTACACTGCAGCCTCAGCCACACCCTTAATTTACAAAAAATTGAAAATAACTTTATTATAATAAACTAAAAATTTTATTATTTTTTTGCTAATTATATGATACAAAACGTATTAACATTAATGAAATATCATAGACTAGATATATAATAAATATCAACACCGGTTAAATTCTTATAATTTAAATTCGATCATTACTAAATATTGGTTGTTTTTCATCAATATAAAATGGATCATCTGAATATTCATCTGTTATATTATTTCTTTGAGTATTTGTCATTTCTAATGCGGATCGTTCATTTTCATCAAATAGATCATGTTCTAATATTCGTTCATGATTAACGTTATCATTGGTTGGTACATGTGAATAAAATGGATTCATTGAATTTATTTCTAAACCAATTTGTTCATGTAAACGATGATATGCAAATAAATATTTTAATCGAATTAATTTCGAATTATATCGAATAAAAATATAACCAATAGTGCATATTAGAGCAAAAGCAATAATCGTTAAAATCCATACACGCCATGCTAAACCATGTCGAATTTGACAATAATAACCAGTAAAACCAGATAGACAACTAAAAATATATGAATATAAATTCGACATTTAAAAAAAAAAGTAAATTCAATTTACTGGCAAATTGGTTTATTATTTTCTACAATACATTGTCCTTTATTTTGACAAATGAATGATTGACATAGATTATATTGACATTTTTCACCAATAAAACCATTTAAACAACTACATTAAAAAATAAGAAGAAGATAATTTATTTTATAAATGAATAGAATAACTTACTTGCAAATAGGAATCGTTCCATTAAGTGTACAAGTAGAATTATTTTGACAATAATTATTACATCGTGTCAAATGACATTGATTTCCGAAAAATGGTGACGGACAACTGAGATAAGAAAATGAAATGGTCAGTAAAAACGAGATGATTAGACTTACGAGCATGTCGATGAATTCTTAGAATCATCAATAATCAAAAGTCCATTATTAAAACAATTTATTTTTCTATTGATTATTTCGCGACAAATACAACTTTGTGTTTGAATATGAAAAATTAATGAATGACTCATAGTACCACATGAGGGTTCACCAAATAATGTTCGTGAACATACTTCACGTTCTGTTGGTGTTATAATACGATCACAAGGTACTTCTATTAAATGAAAACTTCATTGAAAAGACAAAAAAATAAGATAAATTTTACCAATTTCTTCACGATCATTTTTAAGTGTTGTACATAAATAGGGTGTTTGTCGAGTTTTAGATCGTGATAAATAACACATACAAGGTGGTTGTGAATCATTACCAATATGAAAACAACCAACATGAACTGTATCTGTTAATCGACATATTTCACAATCATCACCGATATATGTTTGATTCGAACAAACACAATGACCATTTGAACATATACCACGACTATGACATGATGAACTACATAAATTCATTTCTATCCAGAAAAGAAGAAGGCTATTATAACAAAAAATAGATTTCAAGTAAAAATACATACGTCCTGGAGTAATACAAAGTGGTTGATATGATGGAGTTGATATACAAATACGACCGTTTGGACATGATGAATCCGAACAAACTTGTTTAACCACTAGAAAGATCGTATTAATATATTATGTAGATGGTAAATAAAACAGTTACTTACTATTCGATATATCAATATTTGGATATTTAAATTCATGTATATATCGAATAATTGTCGGTGTTTTTAATTTACGATTTTTCTCTGTTATTGTTTTACTAAATTTATCTATCCATAATTCATCATATGTTGAATCTGTTGTATTAAAAACCATAACAACAAGTATATCATCATAGAGATTAATAGAATAAGGTCGAAAATCTATTCATAAAATTTCGTAAAGATAAAAAGAAACAAAATAATTTACTTGTAACAAAATAAACATCTGTTTTCCATGGTTGACTTGAATCAATTGCATAACTTTCAATTTTACCATTTGATAACATAACATATAAACGTGGATGACGATAATCAATTGTCATACTTAATACTGGATATTGGAGTATTAAAAATATTTCAAGATTAGATCCATCAAGTAAACTTCGATAAATAAAAGAATGTTGTGCATCATAATATGCACTTATATAAAGATATCTATACATGGAAAGATTTATTTTAATAGAACAAAACTAATGTTTTACCCTTGTAAAGGTTGAACATTAATTGATGAAATTGTTTTTAAATTAGAAAATGTTAATCGATTAACAAATATTAGCTGTGTATAATCATTTGTAGTTGCATACATGATTTCAATCCCATTTGATGACGATGATGGATCATCATAAAGTGCATAAACAAAACGATGAATCCAATCGATTTCTAAGGATGTAAAATGAAAAATTAATGATGACCATATCTAGAAATTTTTGAAATTATAACAAAAAACAAAGAATTTTTTAGAAAAATTAAACCTGTGTTGCATTATTTTCTAAACGATTTGTTAAATTAAATATTTGATTGAGTTTTTGTTGCCATATAAACCCATGTCCATTACGTTGTTCAGTATACAATAAAGTCCAAGTATTATTATTTGGAACAAATACAGCATCAATTAAATGATGAGAAGGATTTACTGGCTAGAAATATTATTAAATAGAAAAAAACAAAATGAATTCGAAGAAAACTTACTACGAAAATTGAATCATGTTGATAAAGATAAAATGATGCATGAGGATTAAGCATTACATTAAAAGTTTGATTACTTTGTACAATACATGATATGTTTTGTAGTTTATATCCTCGATCACATTGACAATTGACAGGAGATGTTTTTTTTATACAAGAATTTAGATTATCTTTTATTTGTGATAGATTTGTATGTGAACACATACCATACGACCAATTACAAAGGTTATCTTCCAAGATACAACTTCTAAATAAATATAAAATGATTGAGCTTGTCTGTCCGCAGGGTCAAAAAAACATCGAAAACCGATTTTTCACGATTTTTAATCTTACCCATTCGCTATTTTAACGTAACCTTCTTTACATTGACAAATAGGTAAACGATTAATCAGCTCACAATAACTCGAAGTTGGATCACAATTAGCACAATCATTACCTGAACGCAAGATAAAATATCATACAATGAAATTCATTGACTTACGACAACGCCATTGATGTTCATCATCTCCTAATGGACATTGATTAATACCATCACATAATTCATTTAAAGGTATACACAATGGAATCGAATCATCTAGTTCATGTCGTTGTTGTGCACATCGATAACCATTCATGCAAGTATAATCTTTATGTAATACTAATGATAGAATACCATTATTATTATTATTATTGTCGCAGTTTTCTTCATCAGACGAATCCGAACAATCAAGATCACCACTATAAGATTTAGTATTATAAGTTTTTATTTGTTTAATATAGAGACATACTCGCAAACATAAGTTCGATTTATACAAAAATCATTTGTTTTACATCGAAATAAATCAGCTGATTCACATGTCATATGTATTTGTGGAGGAATGATTGTTGTTAAATTAGCCAAATGATCTAACACGAAATCTATATATAAAAATAAAGTTCATTTTTAGTAAAAAAAAAAGTAAAACTATGAAATTCATACTGCATGCTTGTGATGATTCATCAGCAATCATTCCATTTATTCTATCAATTGTTGGACAATCTTCAACATTATCACAAACTTTTTCAAATGGTATACATTTTCCTGATAATGGACATTTAAAATATTCATGAGGACATGTAACATTTATACAATCAAATGGTTCATCAGCACCATCATCTAAAATTTTGATATAATTCAATAAATTTTTACACAATAGTTTATTATACTTACAACAATAGGGTTCATGATCACATCGGTGTGTAATCGATACACATTTTCCATCACAATAAAATTCTACATCCGAACATAAATTCGGATATTTTTCTATTAGAAAATGAAGTAGATTATTTTTTGTCTCATACATATTTCACTCACTTGTACACATATTTAAACTTGGCCATTCACAAAAATGTTTACAAACTATATCATGTTCATCTTCACCAAGTAAACAATCAGTTATATTATTACATAAATCAGCGATTGTTATACATTTCGAAGAACTCGAACAATGAAATGATGAAGTATTATTACATGCTATTTTAGAATTATATAAAAAAATTTATTTTTAATATCATGACACAAACCTTGACAGTTATTTTCATCTTCATTAAATATACAATTAGAAATTCCATCACAATATTGATAAAATGGAATACATTTTTTCGATAGTTGACAATTAAAAAAATGTCTAAATTTGGGAATTATCTAGATGTATTTTAAATGTGTATATGTATTATTACTTACTCAGGACAATCAGGTATGCAAGAATGTTTATCATCAGCTAGATTATAATATTGTGCACAACCACATGTAATTTCTGTTTGATTAATAGTATTTGGAAAACATAATTGTTTACATTGATTACATCGATTTTCTATTTCTAAAATTTCTTTATATCAAATAATTGTTCTACATTGAAAATCGGTATGTATACTAAATGTCGAAAGGGAAAATATCGAAAGGGTGGATGTTTATCGTCTCTTAACCCACATCCTGACTGGTCGATGAAACGATTTTAGAAGAAGCCGAAAGAAAATACAAGAAAAATGATTAGAACAAACATCGATACTGGTCAATGACGACATCTGAGTATTTTCGATATTTTCTCCTTTCGACGTTTAGCAAGTAAATTTGAAAATCGGTGTTACCTTTCTTTTCATTCGAATCAATAATAATAAAATCAATCATATGTAATGGATATCGATAATAATATAAATTATGCAATGAATTTAATAGTGAAGAATCTGATACGAATGATGAACTTTTATCTAATAAATTAATGTTAACATTTATTTTTTTTGCATAATATAATCTTACTATAAAAATTTTGAAGAACTCGATTCGAATCAGAAATAAATCCTGGTTCAAGTAATGTTGTACCGAGTGCATATTTTGGATTAATAGAAAATTCACTTTGATTTGTTTCACTAATATTTGCAAAAGCTTTATACATTTTATCTAAGAAAGAATGAAAATTTAAAAGTCTTCTTTTTGTTTTCAATAATATATGTACCGGAAAAAATTTTAAAAGAATGAAAACGATGTATTGTTTGATATTGTATATGAAGAATTTCTCCATGCATATTTAATATAAATATTTTATCTAAACCATTATAAAAATATAAATAATGATTTATTCGATCGATTGTTAATAATGATCGAAGATAATTAACATTTTCAATATCATTTGTTGTTTTTATTGTAAAGAAAAGTTTGAAATTTCTACCATCCATTCCAAGTCGTACAATATGTTGTGCACGAGATTTACTAATAGCTGTATAAAATAGTAAACTGTAAAAAACACAAATATATATAAAATATTCGAATTTTAAAAAAACGAAAAAAAATACCCTTTTTCAGGATATAAAATAATTCTTTGTGGTAAATAATCACTAATTGTTTGATGTAGCAGTGTATAACAAAAACTTCCGTTCAATCGACACACATCAATAGTTTGTAAACGTGTATTAACAAAATAAATATTTCTATGTAACCAATCAATAGCTATAGATTGAATTGATGTATAATCACGTCCATCAATAATTAACTAAATAAATCGAAAGAATACAAAATATTTTATCGAAATTGAATTCTTTTCTTCGTCAGTAATAAAACGATATATCTCCTATAATTGCTGAATACATTTAACTGCTCTATATATAGTAATAAATCATTTCAACAAAAGGAAATCGACCTTATACATAAATCATATATTTCTATAGAAAATCTAACATTTCTCATTTTTTACTTAAATTATTGTTAAGATTTTTTTATTCATACTTCTTTTTTCGATATTGATTGATTTAAATTAATTCGAAATATTCCTTTTGTTTTAGGACATGACATAATAATTGATCGAATAGGTGTTGAACATTCGGCAAAATATAAATATTTTTCAATAGGATCATAATCTAATAAATAAGCATAATCTGTTAATGTAATTAATTGTTCATTATTTGGTAAAATATTATTTATATTTAATTTATATATTCCATTATTAAATAAACCATATAAATATGCTAATGAAAATATATTTGTTCGAAGTATACATGTATGTTTATCAGATTTTAATTGATAATTTTCATGACACGAACAACGATATGAACCTTGTGTATTTATACAATAATGATCACAAATAACTCTTTCACGACATTCATCAATATCTTGACAAACGTCAGTTGTTTCATTCATTCGATAACCTTCTTGACAAACACATCGTTGATTATTTCTACAATATTGATTTTCTCCTGAACATGTATTATTTATTGAACAAGGTCGATTAATTAATGATGATAGCGAAGGACATTCTATATTATCATTATCTTCTTCTTCTTCTCCGACAGTTGTTGGATTACATTGTCGTTTTATATCACATTCAAGATTTTTTGGTAGACATTTATTTGTTAAACCACAACGATAGAATAATTTTCTACTAATATATTCTTCAAGTGGACAATTACAAAACATTTCATCACTTCGATCATGACATTGACTTATTGTATCACACATATTCGTTTTTGAAATACATAATTTGGTTGATTTACATGTAAATTGATCAGGTGTACAAAATCGAGGAAATACTTAAAAGAGACATAATTTTTTTTATTTACTAGAAAAATATATACATACGACATAAAGATGATGATTCATCACTACCATCAATACAATCTTGAATTCCATCACAAACAGCAGTTGATAACACACATTGATGATTCGATTGACAAGTAAATTCATCCGATGTACATTTAGTCATTATTGGACAATCTATTGAATATTAAATACAATGAAATTCTCTTGACATCTTTTCTTATTTACCTAATTCATCCGATGAAAATGGATCAAGACAATCATTAATTCCATTACATAGCCATGTTCTTGGTATACAACGATTTGTTATTTTACAATGATATTCATCTCGAGAACAAACTATTAATGGATTCTTTTGAGTACATTGTTCATCACTAGCATTACGACAATCAATAATTCCATCACATACCGATGATCTATTTTTAAAGAAAAAAAAAGCGAGGGTGAAAACACTATGTTCAAATATTTTTACGCTTGATCAAATCAATTCATATATACATCTGCTTTAAGCTAAATAGAACTATTGTATGGTTGTGTTCACTTGAATGCTTATCTTTTCTTCAAAATTTCTCTGATTGTATCTTAATAAATCAAATAACTATAACTAAACATTCATCATCCATTATTTCTTGTCTAGTCTTCTTCAAGGATGAGTTGACATCAATATAAGAACGCCCGCTACAACTCAACTTCCTTTCTTTTTGTATTGTTATCTTTGTATTACCTACGATAAGTGGAAATCTAGCGTCTATTTGTTAATCATTATTTTCTAATAAACTGTCAGAAGAAAAAACGTTAGACAATACATTTTCATGAATATAAATGAATACAATGTTTAGAAATGATATACAAATAAGTCTTTTCAAGTTCTATATGTGAAATTAAACATATGTTTATATTAGTAAGCAAAGGGGGAATCAATCTCAATGGTATAGAACTTTTTCATTTAAGTTGCATGTTAGTTTACCGTTTAATACAGATTTGTATTGGTCGTGTA